GTCTCAATAAACAATACAAAATGCACTTCGCGGCTCCTAAACCTGGATCATGCGCGGCCACCCCGCGGTCACTTTGCAGTGGTTTCGGAAAAAGGTAGCGGAAGTGCTGTCATATTGCCTGCTATGAGCAGGCCCACCAAACACCATGATGGCCACCACGTGGCGATTGTGCGCTGGTTTCGGTAAGGACAGCGGGGGCCGCCATGTTACCCGATGTGTGTTGTCACGTGCGCGGGCGCACCTGGCACACTCGTAGGGGAACGCACAATGACATAAACATAAAAACTCGGAGGTCCGCGCTGATTTCTCGGATCGGCGCTGGACCCCCCTCCTTGGCGCGCTCCGCGCGCCTGGGGCGGCGCCAGAGGCGCCGGAGGCGCCGCCAGGGCGGTCCAGCGCCGATCCGAGAAATCCGCCCAGACCTCCGAGTTTTTATGTTTATGTCATTGCTTGTTCCCCTAACTCTGCACGTGCCCCGAACGTGGCGCACCTGGCGCGGCTGGAGCGTGCTGCACACATGGTGCTCGTGGAGCACGTGGCACATCTGGCGCGCCAGGCGTCCCGGACACGCTTGGGCCCCAGGGGTGCCTGGTGCACCTGGCGCACGTGGCGGTGGGTCGGCTGTGTCCCTACAGGCAGATTTTGGACGACAACTAAAGAATAGTCAAAAAAAAACAAAAATGGTCAAAGATGAGAGGAAAACAAAAAAAAAAAAAAAAAACTTACTATGTTTTAACTATGTTTGAATATTCCTGCTGTAGAGGGACACGCCCGACTTAAACGTAGCGCGCCTGGCACGCGTGGCGCACCTCGCCCCAGCACCGCGCACATAGGGTCTGTTTTTGGTCCCCAGTAGCTGTCCATCCATGGACGACCGCTGAAAACGCTGAGGCTCGGGTGCTACTTATGCGTCGGGAGGGGGGGTGGCAGTGAGCGAGACAAGGTGCGGGCGGGGAGGGTGTCTTGATCACTACTCCCTATTACTAAACACCCCTCCCCCAGGCGACCGGCAGCCAACCCAGACAAATGAGCTCCCCCACCCACCATCCCTTGCAAAAACAAAACTCGTTTCACTTTGCCTCCAAATCTGGCGCATGCGCGGGCGCCCCGCGAACACTTTGCATCAATTGTTGGCAAGGACGGCGGGGGTGCCAGCATATTGCTTGCTGCGCGCAGGCCAACCATCCCTCTCAAAGAAATACAACAATATACGTTGGTTTGGCTTCGAAGCTGGAGCATGCGCAGGGCCTTCTTTTCTCTAAGCTCTCATTTGTTTCACGATTCCTCATAATGTCACAATTTGCTGGTGCTTTGCGCTCCCTGGAAGAACCGCCCTTCTCAGAGCATGCTCGGCATTTCGCTTCCAGGGGATTCAAGGCCCTGAACTCCTTGGGGCCAGGGCCCCAGGCACCCCTGGGGTCCCTGTTGGTTCCCTGTAGCTGGCGCACCTGGCGCGGTTGAAGCACGTGGCACAATTGGCGCACGTGGGGCATGTGCCGCACCTGGCACGCTTGGGCCTCCCGGGCCCCTGGTGCACCTGGAACCCGTGGCGCACGTGGCAAATGTGGCGCTCCTAGCGGTCTGCTGACACTCGGGTGTTACTTATGTGTTGGCATGGCGGGCGGGAGTGAGCTAGACGGCCTGCTATGTTAATCTACGAGGGTGGTTTGATCACTGCTCCCTATTAGTATACACCCCCTCCCCCAGGCGGCTGGGAGCCTATCAGGGCGAACGCGGGCCCCCCACCATCCCTTGTCATAAAAAATACAAACACACACATTCTGCCTCCAAATTCGGAACATGCGCAGCGAACCCGATGCGGCCTCCCCCCACCATCCCTGTCAAAAAACAATACAGAGCACACTTGGCGGTGGCGGCAGTGCGGCGGGGGCAGCGGCTGCGGCGGCTGCGGCGGTGGCGGCGGCGGTGGCGGCGGCGACACCGGGGGCGGCGGCGGCGGCGGCGGCGTCGGCGGTGGCGGCGGCGGCGGCGGCAGCAGTGGCGGCAGCAGCGGCTGCGGCGGCGGCGATGCGGCAGCGTTGGCGACGGTGGCGGCGGCGGCGGGCGGCGCGCGGCGGCGGCGGCAGCAAACGGCGGCGGCGGGCGCGGCGCGGCGGCGGCGGCGGCGGCGGCGGCGGCGACGGCGGCGGCGCGGCG